AGCTCCATGCCCCCTTAAGGGGGCTAACTCCCACGCTCCTTGCGGGTAGCTCCCTGGCCGGGGCTTGAACTCAGGCCACAGCGGTGAGAGCGCTGAGCGCTGAGCCTAACCCCTAAGCCATCCTGGAGGCCCCGCTAGGGGCTTAGTTAAATGGAACCTTTAACCTTTATTAGGCGGCTTCAGGAGAATTACTGACAGCTGCTTCTCCAGCAAGTCAGAAGAGACTATGGCTGCCCTTCCCTCAGTGATCATCACTGTCTCCTCCTAAGGCCCAGTGGGCGCTGAGGGAAGATGGCTTTCAGCGGCACCTCCATGTCTTCATCGGTGACAAGAGGGGGCAAAGTATGGGGATTTTTCAATTCTAAAACAAGTATTTTTCATTGATGAATCAGAAGAAAAACCTACACAGTTCAGAAAGTAATCAGGATTGTACTGATCCTGAAAGATTTCTTTGGTGATGATCATGTGTAAAATCAGTATTTAGAAGTTTCTAGAGATTTAAGTATGCAGACTTCTGATGTCCTCATAGAATAATGAATGCTCTTAGCGAGCTGAAGAGACTCAAAAAAAAAAAAAAAACAACCCAGTCACAAAATGGGCAGAAGAGCTAAAAAGAAACTTCTCTGAAGAGGAAATGCAAATGGCCAACAGGCATATGAAAAAATGTTCAACATCACTTGTAATCAGGGACATGCAAATCAAAACTACCATGAGGTACCATCTTACACCAGTGAGAATGGCACATATTAAAAAACTAGCAACAACAAATGTTGGTGAGGTTGTAGAGAAAAAGGAACTCTCCTGCACTGCTGGTGGGAGTGCAAACTGGTCCAGCCACTAGGGAAAGCTGTGTGGAGATTTCTGGACCTACTAAACATAGAGCTTCCATATGATCCAGCAATTCCACTCCTAGGTATTTACCCAAAGGACACAGAAACATTAATTCCAAAGGGCACCTGCACCCGTGTTTATAGCAGCACTATTTACAATAGCTAAGCTTTGGAAACAACCCAAATGCCCCAAAATAGATGACTGGATCAAGAAGATGTGGTCCATATACACCATGGAATATTACTCAGCATTCAAAAAAGATAAACACATGCCATTTGCAGCAACATGGATGGCGCTGGAAGGGATCATGCTCAGCGAAATAAGCCAGAAAGAAGACGAAAAACACTGGATGGTCTCACTCATAGCAGGAATTTAGAAACCAGCAAAGCACCTGTAGTCCATGACCTTAGTCTATCCTTTGCACTTGTTTTCTTCATGTTGTATAGAAGAAATGGATAAAGTAGAAGAAGCCATACATTTCTGGGCATTAAAGAATAGTTTGTGTGGTTGTTCAGAATCATCTTGGAAGGGGCAGTGATTTCTCTCTCCATATCCTCCAGATATTTCTTAGCTCCTAAGTGTCTTCTAGTACCACCGTCTCTTCTCCCATCAGTATACATTCTGTTTGCCTTCCTTGCTCCTAGAAGCTGCCCAAGGACATATGACATTTGTTATTAAAAATGCTACCTGCCAACATTCTAAGATCTTTCCAGGCCCTCCATGGATGGCAGTGGTTTCAAATCACACTTAAAAAATCTCCTGAGGTTGTGACCAGAGATTCGTCCATTGTCGCTGCTCTCACAGACGCGCGAGGGCTCTGGAGCGGCGCTGGGAGGGCGATGGGGTCCAGCACAGAGGACGGAGGCAGCTGCCGGGGTCCGGGAGTCTCCTGGCCAGAGCCCGCCACACGCTGCCTCGGGGCGCCCCGGCGCTCACGGACTACCCTTCTCTTCTTAGTAGCTGTCATCTTTTTCCAGCTATAAAGCTCAACCTATAACCAAGTGGACTGGTAGGGAATATAAAAGAGTAGGAGGCCATAGAGAGGGTCATGTTAGAACCACAACCAGTAAAAGACATTCACTTAGGCAAGAAGAAAAGAACTAGACTGTATGTGTTACTGAGCTGTGTGGTCTTATGTATACAATTTTGAAAGTTCCATGGAAATCTAATACTAACCAGTTCTTACCAAAGGAAATAATGTAGCAACAATATAAAAACATTTTGGGAAAAACAGAAATTAGTAATTTTAATTTAGAAGAAAATTCTGTTTTATTGGGATGGTATAAAAATAAAAATGCAACAATATAATTATAGCTATTTCACAATAACTTCAGACTACTAGGCTTTATTTCCTATCATCTTAGTAAGACCAGAGGTTTTGAAAACCCCACATTCTTAGGTTTGGGTTACTTACTTCAAAATGTACTGAAATCAAATTCTCTTTGTGGGATTTATATTAATGTAAGCCATTATCTGGAGAGAAGACATATTAATGTATCTACAGATATTTTAGAAGATTTAGCATTCTAAAATGGAACTAAAGGAATGATTTGTTCTTAGAAAAGAATATATAAAACTGAATAAGGTACCAAACAAATATTTCAAATTTCAAGAATTCACAGGGATGGTGAACATTCCTATGACTGAACAGCTCTTGTCAAATATGGGTAGTTTACTATTAAAAGAGAGAGAGATGAAATAATGAAATATTCAATATTACTTTAAAACAAATCAACAATTACTGTGTCCTAGCTGTGAGTCTGGCTGTTTGAATTTCATCTGTGCCATTTTTAGCTGAGTGTGATCAGACTCTGGTAATTTGGAGAACAGAGCGTCACCATTCATGGGCCACATCTAGGCATCTATGGGGGATTCTATCTTATGTTGGCTGGGTTAAAATAGTGTTAGAAATGTAACTTCAGAGATAATACACTGTCTTCTTGTCCTTTTTCTTTTAAAGATTTATTTATTTATGCATAAAAGAACTGGGGTATAGGCCAGAGTTGCAGAGGGTGAAAGGATTCACCACAGACAGTGGGGAGCAGAACAGGCAGATCAACTAAAATACACTGCTGAAGGGAGCGGCAGGCGAGACAGGAGAGGTCTGCTTCGCCATGTGGGTAGCTTCCTGGCTGGCCAGGGATTGAACTCATGCTGCAGATGCTGCAGATAGCTTCATAGTGCTGTGCTTAACCCCTTGAGCCACCAGGGAGGCCCGGCTTGTTTTTTTTTGTTCTAAGGAAATGCATAAAATGTGACTGAAAAGATTCTTGAACTAGGTCTCTTAGTGATCACAAGAGTAATTAATACCCTAGATGGACCTACTGGGGTTTCGGCAATATATTTAGCCTGCTCTACTAGCATAGCATTAGCTCAGGTAACCATGACTTTGAGTAATTAATGGTCTTCCCACGGGATAACACAGTAACTGCATGTCAAATCAGAGCAAAGTGAGTCTTGGAAGTATTTTAGTCATCCTTTCTGAACCTTTTAAGTGCAGCAGAAGCCATCTCTTATAAGTTCCTAAATTTAGGGGGATGGGGGTTGTTGTTCTTGTTTTTAAAATATGATGAAATGACTTCTACAGTTTATCATTATAACCTGAAAATTGCAACTGATATTAATATGTACAAGTGAAGTAGTACCCCTTAGGTAACTTCCAAAGACATTTTCAATATTACAGCTAAAGTAAAATTTCAACAGCTATTTTTGGGAAAGGCTGAGGTCTATTCAGTCATCTGTTTTCCTAGATTTATTAGTCTGCTGCTTGATTTCCCATCTCCCAAGTCTGATTCTCCATTTAAGTTGATCCATGTTATCATTTTTCTATGCCCTTCCACAAAATATCAATTTTCTTTCTGCCTATTATAACCTATTTTCTTCCTGCCTATTATTATTCAGGTTTCCGTAGTTTTTAATTCTATGAAGCAAACTTACAGTCACATTTGGTGAATTCTGATTTGTAGATTTGAGCCACAAAGAAAATTCAAATGTAGATCTTATACCAACACAAAAACCTTTTGTCCTTGCTTTTCCATGAAAGGTGGTGTCTATATATCATTGTTGCTATTTCTCTTCTAAGAAAATTGCATCTCACTCGAGTGATAATTCAGACTATATAAGTAAAAGCAATAAGATGGAAGCTGTTAATATCATCTTGAAGTAATTTTTATAAAATATAACAGTGTTTGGGGCCTCCCTGGTGGTGCAAGGGGTTAAGCACCACACTATGAAGTAATCCACAAGCAACTCACATGGCACAGCAGACCTCTCCTGACTTGCCCGCTGCTCCACTCAGCAGTGTGTTTCGGTTGGTCTGCCTGTTCTGCTCCGCATCTCTGGCCTATACCCCAGCTCTTGTATGCATAAATAAAAAAATCTTTAAAAAATACATAACAGTGTTTGTTGATTTTCCCTTGTTCTGCATAATTAATGGAAGCAGGGGGTATCCTTATGCTCAGAAATAGTTATTAGATGGAGAAGGAAAATGTGGATTAGGATTAAAAAGTACAGAAAAGAACAGAAAAGATAAAGATTAGGTGATATTTTTAACAAATCATATGTCAAAACAGTAAAGGTAAATATATTGTAATAATATGCAATTAAAGCTAAAGTTTAGGTTTTAAGAAATGGTGTTTGATAAGGCTCAACATTAGAGAATATATCTGAAAATACTCATTATTAATATGTATGGGAATGATCAAAGAATTTTGGCATAGTGTATATGTGTCAGTAATAGGAATGGTAGTGCAGAGGGGGTGGTTAGTTACTAGAAACCAGGAGAGATGATTCAAAGCATAAGGTGTCATTTCAGAAAAACAACAAAACTGGGCATCATTAGGGTAATAAATCTACAAGCATAGAGGGGGCTGTCAAAAGATAGTATCTATCTTCTGAGTATTTGATAAAGTTATAACTAAAGATATGTGTGATGGAGTAGTTGTGCTAAAATGAATCCATATGGACTATCTTCTCAATGTATTCAGAAATACAGGAAATTATCTAAAAGCTTGATTGAGATCCTCTTTTTTTTGGCAGGATTTAATAACTCAGATGGCCTCTTTCAGTCAAAAAAGACATGGAAAATCTGCCTGCTTACTTTTATTCTGGATAATGTATATATATAAAGCTATGTACTTACCTGGATACATTTCATCTTTCCTCCCCAGACTATCAATAAAGTTCTGCTTCAGTATGCTGCAATTGTATCAAGTGATTTCAGTTCATATTGTGATAAAGAAAATGTGGTAAGTAAAAATGTCTCTACTTTGAATTATTCTTCACTTGAGAGCCACTTATTCAAACGTATAAGCAAGATAAATTGTTTTCTTTCTGCTTTCATGCAAGATGATAGGAAATAGGGATCCCAATAGATTGTCTGAAAAACTTCTCTTGTACTTCTAAATTGGTTATAATACTGAATTCAGAGGAAGATTCAGAGCATATTAATATGAGCCAATCTGGTCTTTCTGTGATGATAAGGAAAAAAGAATCATACATAATTGAAAATCCACATATGTGTAAAATGGAGGTAAGGATGGAATAGGAGTTAAAAAGATGTTTACTGTTGATACCAATTATTTTAGTTTTGGTACCAATACTAAAATGTGTAATTTAATCTTTCAGTTTTATTTAAGTTGAGTAGGATAGTAAATGTAAGGGTGCTGATTTCTACTGATTTATTAATCTCCTATTTTTTGGATGATTGTGAAAATGTTTATAAAATCCAAAGTAGTATTTTAACTTTTAAAAGGCAAAAAGATAAACAAGATAAAGTGGTTTAGAATATGTCAACTGTTATTTTATGGTGGAAGGTGAAATCTATCTTAATACACTATATGTAACATTAGGAGAAATATGTCAGGAAAATTATGGGAATAAAACACTCAAGTCAGCACAAGAGTTTTAAAGAGAAAGAAATCAGTCCAATCAGGTAAGTCTAAAAGACAATTCTAAAAAAAACCTTGTGTTCCCCCTGAAACCTCATTGGCCTTTTGCTGACAGCTCATTAAGATAAGTAGTTTTAATGTTTCTTGAGGGTCCCAGAAGATTCTTCTTTCTCTTAATATGCTGCCCAAACATTTCATTAAAATTTGCAAGTATTTCAGCAGATAGCTCTAATTGCCATTGATTATTAATACTTTAATAGGTAAGAGATATTTACTGAATGAATTTTCTACATTTTTAAAGGATAATATATATGAAAATAAAACAGTGTCAGACAATTTGAGAAAAATTGTTTTAGGAGAAGAGTCAATGTGAAGAGTTTGATAGCTGTGAATTATCAAGGACAATTCCTGTCATTCTGAAAGGACTATTAGCCTTTAAAAAAAAAAACCAAAAAACTATAACCTTACACTTTATTTCTTAATGTTCTACTGTATATTTCAAAAAAACTGAGAAAAAGATCATAAATCAGTGTTAATTGTATTATCTGTATTCTTCCTGCTGATACCAATTATTTTAGTTCTGGTACCAATACTGCAATGAGTGTAATTTATTTTAAGAGTGTTTATAGTTTTCGGGCTTCCCTTGGTGGTGCAGCGGTTGAGCGCTGGGCTGCCCGCAGCCTCTGCAGCGCTGGTTCGATCCCCAGCCACCGTCGAGGGTCCCACATGGAGGGCAGACCTCTCCTGCCGCCCGCTGCTCCCCTCAGCAGTGTATTTTGTCAGTCTGCCTGTTCTGCTCCCCGCTCTGGCTCTGGTGCATTCTCTCACCCTCCCGCTCTTCTGACTGTACCCAGTGCTTGTATAAATGAATAAATAAAATGTTAAAAAAAAAGTTTATAGTTTTCAAAATCAAACTTTTATAAAAAAGTACCCTTGCAAATATAGCACAGGAACTTCCTTTTCCTTTAAGGCTTTTCTTCCCTAATTACTGTTGTCTTGGCCAGTCTTAGACTATCACTCAAATGCCAAATTCATTTTAGCTTTTCCATGAAGGAATATCAATTAGCTGCTTGTTTATGCTTTTTGCTAGACCACATTGACATGTGTTGTACATTTGTTGTATACAACATGTCAATGTTATACATACACAAAACATTTTTTTTAAGATTTATTTATTTATACAAGAACCGGGGTACAGGCCAGATGCGCGGGATGGTGATAGGATTCACCAGAGACAGAGTGGGGAACAGAACAGGCAGACAGACGAAATACACTGCTGAGGGGAGCAGTGGGCGAGACAAGAGAGGTCTGCCGCGCCATGCGGGACCCTCGCCAGACAGCTGGGATCGAACCGGCACTGCAGAGGCTGCAAACAGCTTCACAGTGCTGCGCTCAACCACCTGCACCACCAGGAGAGGTCCGACACACACATAACTATTGATTTACTTTTCTTTGAATACCAAGGACATTAAATCTTCTTTTCTCAGATAGGTAGGTAGGTGGATGGAAATATGTATTTTTCATCTGGAAGTTGAGGTTGAAACTTTCAAAGATAGACATCTTTTAAGATATATCATACAATTTGCTTTTTGAGTGTTAGAATTAAGGAAGACAGTTAAACAAAATGTCTGTCAGAAAACTGTCTACTGTAACATAACAAAACAACATTATCTAAACATGAAATACTTGAAAAAGGTACAAAAATTTCAAAATCAATTCAGAAACATTTAGGTCATCTAGAAATTACCATATCTGAACATAACTTCTATGTTCATTGTATTTTAAGATTCTAACTATGTTCCAGATTTAAGTAAAATACAATCATTCTGATAATTTTAGTGGAAAAGCCAAATATACAACTATAAAGAGTACACGTTGACATCAAATAAAGGATACTTAACTAAACTCATCAACAAATGAAACTTCTGAATTGTTACTGTTCTTTACTGTGGGGGATGTTCTTTTGGGTTTTATTTTTGTGTCTCTTTTTCATTTACTATAGAGGTTTATAAAGTAAAATCTGTTGCACAACTAGGTTTAAGGTAGATTTGTGTAATTAAATTCTCAGTAGTGATCTGATGAATTAGCTTAATAAAATTGAAAGTTTAACATTCAAGGTCAGGGAAGGCTTATGAAAGAGAAAAGTCTGGGCCTCTCTGGTAGTGCAAGAGGTTAAGTCTCAATGCTGCAAGCTACTGCCAGCCACTGCAGCACAAGTTCTATCCCCGGCCAGGGAGCTAACCCACGTGGTGCAGCCGACCTCTCCTGTCTCGCCCGCTGCTCCCCTCAGCAATGTATTTCAGTCAATCTGCCTGTTCTGCTCCCCACTCTGTCTCTGGTGAATCCTTTTATCCCCCTCATCTCTGGCCTACACCCCAGTTCTTATATGCATAAATAAATAAAATAAATCTTAAAGAGAGAACTATCTCCCCCTGGATAAAGGCATCTCTTTTACCTACGCAGGCTTACCTGGGGTCAGTAGCAGCCCAAGTGTCTATATTCATTTGTTTCTTAGTAGCTCTTTTCTATAAGAAATGATCATAGTAAGAAGGCTTAGGGGATGAGTTTTATTTATAAAGCTGATACATATGTAATTTGACCCAAAAAAGATATGCTTACATGTTAATGGCAAATAGTCATAGAAGAGTCTATCCAGCTCACTTAGGCCCTGGGGACAGATGATAAAATCTTTCCTCCTTGTGGGCTTGTCATGAAGAGTCATCATATTTCTTTGACCTTAGTGTTCTTCTTGCTAGCACTGTCCAAATTCAAGCCAATCTTTCCTCAAGTCAATGACTATTTTCCCTCAGGGAAAAAGTCTTCTGACTCAGTTTGTTGACTTTGGGTCAAGATGCTAAATCTCCTGAAAGTTTTACCTCACGTGCTGTAGGAAAGATTAAGCCAAAATCAAACGACTCTCAATCATGGCTGGAGATCAGAGTCATTTGTGGAACATGTGGCTCAGCATATTGAACAGAATCAATGAGAAAAATATTTTATTTTGCAACATGGATATCTAAGATTTAAGTGGTTGGAATCAAGGAAACATAATGGAAGTTTAGAATGATTTCATAAATCGATGTTAGGATGTGGTTACTTTAAGAACCAAATAGAGGTTTTTCAAAGGTCAGTAATGTGGTTAAAGCAATAATAAAATCTTTCCACTGAAGAGAACACCTCTCTGATGTCCTGTAAGTCCTTTGCCTGCCTCCCTCTGATTCATTATTGGCTCATTTCCTAGCAACTTGGAAGGTATATCCATTTTTTTCTTTGTTTTCTTCCCCTAGATCTGTCAATTCCTTGGAGTCAGTATCCAGCAAATACTAACTTATTTTATAACTATTCTGAATTCTGTTTTCCAATTATAAATAATTACTACCTTTTCAAGGTTACATTTAGTCCTTGCACAAAGCTTTACATCTTGGTGTCATTATTATATTTCTGCCTCCTTAGGAACTAGTCTAGAAACATTTTCTAAGCATGTGTTAAATGTAAGAATCTATGAAGTACTGTGTACATTTTTTTTAAAAAGGCAGAAAAAGACATAACAGAATGTATAGTGCAGTTAGAGTGACACAGTAAAAATAGCTTAAATATAAGATACATTAAAACAAATGTCCAGTGAGAAAAGGATATAATCTGGGTAAGAGAAGGCACTAATGTGAAGGATGGATATGATTCAGACAAAAGAGGTTCAAGTGAAGAGGCCACATGCTAAGCCAAATATGGAAAGCATAGGTGTTTGGGAGGGAATAAGTGGCTTCGAATTGAGAGTTAAGATGAATGCAGTAGAGGGAGATAAGGAAAACATGTTGGAACCAGATAACAAAGCATCTTGGATACCAACATGTGGACTTTTATCTAGGTATTTAAAGTTGTGTTTTGGTTTTTTGAAACAGTGGGATAACAGAAACTTAAACTTCTTAAATTTATTTGTTCTTAAATCTTTAACAACAAAATTAGGTTAATTTCTGAGTATAAAGTGCCACAAAGTTATTAAAAAAAAAACTAGTAGTAGTTCTATAATGGTTTGTTGCATGAATATATTTTTCTTATCCTTTCTCAACTGTTAAGAGGCACCATCAGGCCTCCCCAGTGGCGCATCGGGTTGAGCGCAGCACTGTGAAGCTGTCCACAGCCTCTGCAGTGGGGGTTCGATTCCCGGTGGGCCAGGGAGATACCAACATGGCACGAAGGACCTCTCCTGTCTCACCTGCTGCTCCCCTCAGCAGTGTATTTCGGTCCTTCTGCCTGTTCTGCTCCCGCTCTGTCTCTGGCGAATTCTCTCACCCTCCTGCATCTCTGGCCTGTACCCCAGCTCTTGTATATAAATAAATCTTAAAAAAAAAAGGTAAGCTCACGCAATATTTCCATGTATAAAGGATTCTCACACAACTTTTTTTTTTTCTATTTAAAGCCCTGTATATTGATGAATAATATTCAACAATTACGAGTTCAGCTGGAAAAAATGTTTGAATCCATGGGAGGCAAAGAGGTGAGTATGTTTTTATACTTTCTTTTGCCAAATGCCTATTTAAAGATTACTAGCCGCTTACCTCTTTGCTGTGGAAAGTGTCAAAATCAAGTTTTTACATGGTCTAACCAAAGAACAGGAAATAATATTCTAACATCAAAATCCCATTAACAAGTAGGCATTATTTTGCACAAGTATTATTAAGTACATTAGAAATGTGAATGGGAGGTGGTCAATGGCCTTTATGGCTATACCGTCATATACACACATATCTATATGTTAATGATCTATAATGTTCCACAAAGTGTAGGTTTATTTACCATATTATACAATGTCAACTTGGTATTAATTTTTGGTCTTTGTGGTGCTAGTGGTTTTTGCTGTATTGGTGTTTTGTTGTACACATCAAAAAATCTGTCAAAAATGTGTGCTGTGTCTGTAATGTGTCATGTCTTTGTCCAACATCCTTAACTTGCAATTCCATGAGCAGAAGAAGGAAGGAGAAAGATTCTTTTATGAGGTTTGTGGTAGTAAGCATCTTATGTTTTACCTGGCTGTACATGCCCCCCACCACCCAACCTAAAGTCCATTGTGCCTCCTACTTACTCTCATTTGCTTGTTTCAATCAGGTAGACAGTGAAAAATACTAGCTATGCACCCATCAACTCCTGCTGCTGTCACAGTCTTTCCTGTTACAAACCCACATGAGCACGTGGGGAATCGAGGACAGCAGATAGGACTGAGATGGAAGGTTATACAGCTGGCCTTCGCTTACCACCAAGCCTTTCAAAAATCAATCCTAAGGGCTGCTAGAATGCTAGATGTTTCTGTCTAAGATTTTAAAATGTTCTTTTTGGTGATAAGTGTGTGAGGTGTATGCAAGGTTGGTTTGGGTTTCAAGTCCACGATCCCTTTTTTTCTAAATTGGAAGGGCTCAAATTCTTTTTAAGATTGGAACTCTTCACAGGTGATTTTTGCCTTTAACCCTAAAGAGACATTTATATGTCTCCCATGTCATTTTCATCATACTCAAGCCTCATTAGCACCCACAAATGAGAAGCACTAGGTTCCATGTACAAAGGTGCATTTTAAAAATGAACTTTCAAGAGCTCTGCTCCACTACAGTCTTGGTTTAATTTGTGTCAAATAAGTTTCCATTCCCAAAGGTGTGTTAATGTTTTTTGCACAATTTGAGGGCATCAGTCTCATTTGTAGAGTTCTTCAGCTGAATTTAGCGAACACAAGCAATTGGGAATCATAACTGGAAATTCTCTTTTGTATTTTAGTGATGTTTTATAGTCACATTTTATATGTACTTGGTGTTTTGAAAATAGGAAGAATTTCCCACAAGAAATCAATAATGTCTTCTATCTCCTTTAAGTGAAATTTTAAGACCACGAATCATTTATGTATGAAGTAATATTTTGATGCCATATATCTAGAAATTTCTCAGATTTTTACCATTTTATTACTATTTTGTGGTTGAAATCTCATGTGAGTGATATACTGCTGAACTAAATATTAATCAGACAAATCAAACCTGTACGTAAAGGAAGCTGTGGGCCAAGTTACCTGCTAACCAAAAATGTTATAAGGTGGTTCCTTCACAAGTCATAAATGGACTCTATTTCAGATAAACTTGCCAGTTTGAAATGTGCAAGTTTCAATTATAAATTTACTTGCAAATCTGTGGTTAAATCACAGAACTCTTCTTTTTGGAGAAAATAATGAAGATAAAAATACTGAGCATGGTGCCTTCTTTCTTTATAATTCTTGCAAAGTCAATTGTAAACTCCTCATATATCATTTACAGGAATAATTCAACTAGATAAATGAAACAAAGGTCTAACTTCTAACAGTGTAATTTGTTACTGATACAGCATATCCCAGAGATCCTTTCTTTTCCTACATTTCAGTAGTTTCATCCCTTTCTCCCTCTCTTAACCCTCTTCTGTGCCCCTCTGTCCCTTTCTATGCACAGTTTGTTTTTCAGTTACATCTTCCATCATCTGTTGATAAGAAAAGGCTTTGGGCAGGCCCCGCAAACACAGGGATTGATGAAATGTAGGGAGCAAGACCTGAACCAAAGTCTGAGTTTAACATGCAGCTTCCCAGATAGAAATAAGCTTCATTAATACAGAAATATGTTACTTGCTGATTGCTATACTCAGCCTCCTCTAGGCACCATGATCTCAAAACAACAGGCAGAATTCCTCCAATCAGCTTTCTATATATGTATTAGCTAAGTGGGTTCCTTAACTTAGGGCTTTTATAAAAATGAAAAAAGATTTTATTCAGAATGACACCCTTTGATGTGAAAGTGTATGCAGTAGACCACACTTAATTTGGGCATGTTTAATGGTGTTTAAAAGATAATACAATGTGATAGTGCCAATTCCAGGTTTTCCTCACTGGGGAGCTGGTTATAAAACACTGACTGGTATTGCTTAGGGAAACCTTCCCACCTAGATCGCATTTGTCTTCTTTCAGTAGTTTATTATGTTGTCCCCCACCATCTGTGCTAGAATATGCACTTCTTGCTACAGAAATCTAATTAGTAAATGACTGCCTGTGCACTTGCTCAAGAGTTTGTAATGCCATGTATGTTTTAGTTGGCTTCTAACTACAAGCGTTGCTTGCCTCTGATACTCTGCAAGGTGCTGGGCGCTTGCAGGCCTGGTTGCATGATGCTGCAGCTCTCTGCCACTTTGCCCTGACTATTGTTGAGGCAGCTGTTCTTTCTTTGCAAGATCAATCCTTCCTACCCACTACCACACCCAAAAAAACATAAAGATTGTTTAAAATAGATTTTGGTAGAAAAACTCTCTACAGAATCCAAGTTCAAAATATTGCCTAACACTGTCAATCCTGGAGTGATGGTACTAACAGTGGCTCCAAAAGCAGTCACTGTTCATATTGCATGCACAGTATCCAGAGGACCATGTAGGCACATTCTGTTCCAATACTGTATTTTGGGGGGAAAAAGTAAATCAGCTTTTTTATTACTGAAAAGTGACTTTCCAACATGCTTTCTTGCATAGTTTCTTACATAACAAATCAAGAGCATGTTTGGCATAACAACTTTAGAGAATGTTTTAAAAAAATGGGCACACAAACCATGAAACAAGTAACCTTTAGGAATGAGAAACAGAGACTATTCTAAACATTTCAGGTAACTTTATGTACAAACTGTTTCGGGAGCCACTATTCTAAAACAGATAAAATAGGCAACTCATGGCATGAACTGACGTGAGCTAGAAGTTAAATTATTTACGCCATAATCCCCATAGTGTATTGCTTGCCCCTTTATAACCTAACAAAACGATGAACAGGATTACCAGTAATAATTTTTACTAATTGGTGAATAATTGTTTTATCCTCAAATTACTCTAAGGTAAAACAGATATATTGTGATCTGTTATTTCATTAGCTTAGTTATTTCATAAGTATAATTCAGTATATAGTAATTAAAAATAAATACATAATCTATATTCACTTTTTCATAAAAACATTGCCACAGCCTACAGAAAGGACTCAGTTGTTCCTCAATATGCAATCTAATTTATACAAGTACATAAAAAGAAAATCAAACCAAAATTTAATTTCAAGAAGTCATAAGATATTGTTTATGAAACTCTACAAAACTTGCATCATAGTAATTGAATTTGAAAAATTATGACTGTGCTGTGTAAGCAGAACATGAATTACTCCTTTACAATATCATACTGGTGCAATCATCTCGAAGGTAGAATTCATAATTATCTATGGATCTGCTACACATTACTGAGAGTTCTTCAAATTCTGGAAGTTAGTCAATACTAAAACATTTAGGGGGAATAGAGGAATTTGTTTACTTAGCTAAACTATTTCATTCTGCTGATCACAAAATTAACTGATTAGGTGTAATAGTAATGTTATTGTTATTGATATGTCTCAAATGATTGAACCTTTTGGTTCATTAACTTTGCTGAATATGGCCAATGAATTTGAACATAGCTCTACCTATCCTAAAAATGTATATATTTTAATGAGCAGTGTAGTTATTACTTTGAGAATATATCTGTATCATTTTTAATTGTTTAGTGATGATTGTGGTGTCAATTAGAAGCTTCATATGACACCCTAAAGTGTATGCATGTAGCTGATTGAGCTTCCTCGTAAACCCTTTAGCCGTATGGACTCAGTTCAGCCAAGCAACCCTTGTTATACTTTAGTAAGCACTGTCCTCTCAGCTCTATACTTGCAGGGCAATAGGGAGTTGTAGATGACTGTTTTAAAGGAAATAATACTTCAAGTCAGTATTTTTGGAACTTTAACATGCGTCAGAACAAACATAGCATATTAAGACAAACATAGCTGAACTTCATTCCTAGACCATTTAATTTAGTCGGGATGGGATTTGATGATTTGCATTTCTAACAAATTCCCAGGAGACTGCATTTTGAGAATTACTATTCATTGCTTTTAGAACACCAGTCAGGTATTAGGAAGTGGCTTGGAATACCCCCTTTGTCTTACCTGTACACCTAACTAACCAACTTAATCTGTTATCAATCTTGAGAACACATGGGATTCAATGTGCTTGAGCAGACCTCGAGACAACATGCAACAGTGCAGGCAAATAAATATTTGGCAGTGTGTGTGTGTATCTGTATGTATCTACATGGCCAAAATATACCTAGGGAATTTATAGTCATATACAAATATCCAGCATTGTTTAAATATCCTGGACTGTGAGGTGTTACAGTTGGAAGGCGGCTAATCTTTATGCTCAGGTTTCTTGTCTGTCTCATCTTTTCTCAAATCAGTAGAGACAAAATTCATGAGTTAGCACATTAATGTGAATCAATGTACTGTTTTAATTTTTTTAGCAAATTAAAATAAGTTATAAAATTAAATACTAGATATATTAGACTATTTCAACTAGCTGTATTTTTCTTTTAGCTCTAAATTTTTTTCCTAAAGCAATTTGCAAAGACATCCGATTAAGGTATGTGTGGCTGCCTACTGATATTTAGAAT